GAGATCGCGAATTTTTTGGGGATCGCGAATTTTCAATTATATGACGAGATCGCGAATTTTTTCGTGCATCGGGCTGCCTTACGCGCGTAGGACAGCCCGGCGCGCTTCACACAATTACATTTTAATATGTATATGTTATAGTATATGCTGTTATATTAGCTCCTCCCATATGTCGCTATGGGTAACACCGTTAGCGCGCGAAGCGCGGCGGGCAGTCTTACGCGCGTAAGACAGCCCGATGCATGTTTATTCGCGGATCTTTGTTAATTAAAATCTTAGTAACTATTGCGAATCTAGCAAAATGGTATAGGACTTTTCACCTCAGTTTTATTCCTTCTACCTGCCTACGAGAGATGTTAAACCAATTCTGGGACACCCTGTATATACCGTAATCACGTGACCGAAGTCAGTAACACCGCCGCGGTCGCACGACCGAGGTCAGTGACTCCACCGCAGTCGCGCGACCGAGGTCATTGACCCCGCCGCGGTCGCGCGGCCTAGGTCAGTGACCCTCCCCCCACCAAGGCCGCGCGGCCGAGGTCAGTGACCCCTCCAAGGCCGCGCGGCGGAAGTCAGTGACATTACTGTAGTATGTATATAATACATGTAATACAATATAAAGTATAATATTTTAAATATATAATAAATTATATGTATAATATGTATTATTTAATGTATAATATGTATTATTTTTAATGTTATATAATATAAATTACAGTCACGTTATTTTTACGTGTTGTTTTTCTACTTTTTTCTTTCACGTGACTTTAGTTACGTCTTTAAGTTTCTCTACATATACGATGAACTGTCTCAAAATCGGTTTTCATTATTTACTCTCTCTATCTTTGTTCTATATTTAAACAACAATAAAGACAGACTGACGCTTAAAGCGCGTAAGCGTCCAAAGCAGGGGGTCGTAACTCACTCTTGCTAAAAAGAGGGGACTAGTTTCAGCGCCACCTACCCGTGTACCGTCGGAAATAGCGAACTAATGGGATATATATATAGCTATACATAGCTATATATATCTCGTACAATACCATACACATTTCTACTTCTTAATAATTAGTAATTGCAGAATAAATAGACATGTTCAATTTTAAGTCCATTTTTATTATATTTTGACATCTACAATATTAGATATATAAATTATTACTATTAGTATTATAGGTATATATATTAGATATATATAATTATTACTTATTTATAAAACAATTAATTTAATATTTCATACAATTATGTAAAATTAAACAATTAACAAATTTATTATACATGAAAAATACAATGCAACTCATTTTTCCGTCTCACTTAACAGACTGCGGACTGTCGGATAGACATTTATAAAATTTCTATCCGGTGTGATTAAAAAATGAGATGCAAAGCATGTAGTATTACTTGCACCGCTATCGCAAAGACGCCGATGCCTTTCCTGCGATGTCATCAACCATAACCACCACTGCCAATGCCTGAAGGCACATATTCCCCGATAATGCTCGGGAGGGCCGCGAGAAAAGCATGACTTCTTCAGGCACATGAATCGAAGTAGAAGAATCCTACTTGAATCATCTTTCTTCTTCCTGCTTGCTCGGAAAATTTGTCACAATACACACTACACTGTATTATACAACTGTACACAACACAACACTGAACTTTAAATGACTTTAAATAAATAGAAAGCTAAACCATTGCAAACCGTTTAGCTAGTTGGCTACAACTGTCTACAGTTGCCAACAGTTGAGCACTCGTTCCAACATGGCGGCCGACAGTGCTGCGATCTACGGCTGTACCGTCAAACTCGACTTCCGTCCCCAAAAAATAAAGGGAGTTACGACCCCCTGGTCCAAAGTGAACGCACCTTGAGTGTGCTTATCCTATGGCCTATTGTTCAGAACAATTCAGTAACTGAAGTTGGATTGCATCAGCCATATCGGTTGGATGTGCGCAGTGAATATTTTTGGACAATTGTCGGTGTTTTACACCACTTTCTTTATTATTATCTTTAATTTAAACAAATGCACAACTCCGTGGCTTGGCGTCAGGAACCCAATCCACGGTTTTAAACCTGTTATCAAAAAGACATAGAATGGCGTATGGACTAGCTTTATAGGTCTACTGAGCCAAAAGAGCACCAAACCAAACCAGAACAATTCAGTACTTCGTATTCGGCGTCGACCTAACCTCCCTTGTATATTTATATTGTATTGTTACATGTGTTGTTTGAAAAATTTGTTTATACGAAAATGACAGAAGAAATGATAGAAGAAGTTACTGACAGTGATTGCATGTTACGACCGATGAGTTGCGAAATTAATTTGTTGTCGAGATCTGATGGATCCGCAATGTTTATGCAAGGTGCGTAAGGAGCATTTATCTAAACCATTATTCTTGTCAGTAGAATATTTATATATTGTTAGTCCTTTACATATAGGTGACACTGCAGTTATCGCGGGTGTAAATGGGCCTATAGAAGCAAAAAGCCAAAAAATGGTGCATGATAGAGTTTCTGTAGAAGTAACATATACACCACTCGGAGGACCAGCTAGTAAGTTCGCAAACCTTGTAAACTACAATTTTTTTATAATTAATGTGTAATTTTGAGTTTATAATTTTACTTTAGAGGTCGATGATAGATTAATAGAAACATATATAAGAGATTCTTGTGAAGCTGCTGTATTACTTTCTGTTCATCCTAATACCATGATATGCATCAATCTACAAGAGATGGAAGATTCTGGTGGGGTATGACTATATACTTTAATTTGTATTAGTACTAAAGTTTTATTAAAACTGAGTTAAACATGAATGTAAATACAATTTTAGCTGTTGGCTTGTGCTATTAATGCATCATGTTTAGCACTAATTAATTCAGGACTCTCCATGAAATGTACTATTGCAGCTATAACCTGCATGATAGAAAAAGAAACGGGAGAGATAATTATAGATCCTAATAGTACACAATTAAAGGTATTTATATTATTTATAAATAAACATTAATTACTTTTTTAGTAATAAAATAAAGCTCAATTATAAATTTGATTCAAATATAGATTTTATGTGAATAAATTGTGTTATACAACACTTGAAACCTTTATAAATATTTTCTTTTATAGACTGCAAAAGCGGAATTTACCTATATATTTGACAATATTAACAAAGATGTCGTATCCTGCCACAGTGTCGGCCGATTCTCTCAAAGCGAGTTTTTAGCTTCCATGGATAAGTGTAGACAAGTCAGCCAGTATGTGTTTGCTTATTACAGAGAAGTCACAAGAAAGTACGCAAATACAATATAACAATATTTTATTTTTAAATGATGTCTACGTTTCTTTGTCCTTGTATATGATAAGAGAATTTGAAGAATATTCAGCAAACTTTCCAAACAGTCAAGTATAATCTTATAATATATTAATCTTATAATATATACTTACTGGTCAGGTACATCTTATAATTAATATCGGATTATCCAAATTGCTCATTAACCAGGCAAACATTATACTTAATGTCAACTTATCCGACATTACTTATTGGCCAGGCAAAAATTTATAATTCTTGTCGGATTTCCCAACATACCTTACTGGCCGGGCGAAAATTACAATTGTCTGATTATGCGACATTACTTATTGGCCAGGCGAGTATTATAAGTAATGTCAGAGTATCCGATCTTTACCGAAAAGTCAATGACCTTTAACAAAAAGTCAATGATCATTAACAAAAGGTCAGTGACCTTAAGTATATGGGCAAATCCACCGCAGTTTTAACTTCTGATGGACTGTTTTAAGGTATTTGCTGCTTTTATCTAACCCTCATTCGATGCCATTCTTTGTTGTTGATGGAATTATATAATTATTGCATAAGTATCAACAATAAAATTTTCCCGGTTTTGCTGCTTTTTGTTTGTTTGAACTTCGCAGACAATGGCATCGAGTGAGAGTTAGGTAAGAGCAGCAAATATACCTAGCGGAAGCAGTCCTAGAATCCCCACCACGTCGGTGTTCTCATAGCACGGAGTAGAACCATATCCACAAACTTAGCATGGAATAGAACCACGAAAAGCTATCGCAGAAACTCTTAAGCCCGTTCTACATTGATCGCAAGCGCAAACGCAAGGTATAGATCTCGTAGAATTGACCAATCACGCTGGTCAATTGGCTGATTTGATCAATACGATTAGTAATTCAATTCTACGAGATCTGTTCTTTGCGTTTACGCTTGCGATCAATGTAGAACAGACACTTTATGGCCGTGGCCGCTCTCAGGCTTCTCTCTGATTGTACACAGAATCTGCAATACCACCATGTAATCAGGAAGGTTTTGCAGTTGTAACGAAATAATTTTTGTCTCGTATATTTTATTTATTTTCAAGTACGTGTTGTGTGTGCACACTATTTATTAATATAAATAGTAATATTTATTAATATAAAGAGTCAATTTTTTATTATTCGTACTTAAAATGTTTAGCTTCAACCGATACGATACGCATCTCTAGAATTAAGGCTGAAGCACAGACTTTTGCATAATGCATAACGCATAAGACATGAGATAATCAACCCAATCAAAGCTTTTTAGAACAAAAAGTAGGAATAAAAACAAAAAGCTGGATTGATTTTCTTATGTCTTATGCGTTATGCGTTATACAAAAGTCTGTGCTTCGGCCTTTACCTTTTGCTTGAAGCCAACAGAGGCTGCAACATGCTTCTTGATTTCTGCTGCCCTCTGGTGCAGCATCATGAATTTCTTTGCACTCCAAAGTTAGAAATGTATTTATTTTATTTATAAAATACAGAAGCTTTTGTGAGATTCTATATTAATATTTTTAATATACTCTTGTGTTATAAAAGTTTTTATTTCAGTGCCGAGTTCTAACAATCTGCTTTCTTTTTTTACATACATGCATAGTTCTGATATTTGATAAATTATTATATTTATTCTTATTCAACATTTATTTATATTTGTTATTTTAATAATTTTATATATACGAAAAAGTGTATGGTATATTTTAAGCTAATTACGTTAATTTACGAGTTTAATCATTCAGAGAACAATATGCAGGTAATCTTACATTAAACTTAATAATATTTAATTAATAATAATCCTACATTTAAATAGTATTTGTATACATATATGTACATATCTTTAGATGATTATCTGTATTTTATTAGAGATCTTGAGAGAGATTCACGATCTAAGCAAATACGCAGAAAGCGCGACTTGCATTGACAATGAGCGCGCACTCAGCGTATAAAGAGGAGCGGATATCTGTCGGTAGAGCCACGCCCGATCGCCAATCACAGTACCCACTATCGACGTGCATCCTTTGTGTCTTCTGAACCCTTTTAGTCCCTCTTTCTGGCTCTCGGGAGCCCCAAGACGCGACAGAGAGAAAATCGAAGAAGAGAGAGAGAGAGAGAGAAAGAGAAAGAACATCTCTGGACGTCCATTAAATACAGAAATGAGCCTTCCAAGAGCGCTTCGAACGGGTCGGACCAGATCGTCCGACCGGGCCTGAGACCGAGAAAGATCCGAGGAAGCGGAGTGCGACGGAGAAGAAATAAGAGAGAACGGGAGGAGGTGAGTAAAACAGGAGAGAAGAGAGAAACGAAGAGAGTCCAAGCCGGGTCAGACCGGGCCACGTTTAGCTGAGGTCGCCCCGGGCCCCCAGACCATTAACAAGGAGCGGAGCAATTTATGGACCGGCTCGCTCATTTCCACTTTATTATTATTTTCTCATCTCATAGATAGTCTTCCACGTCGTTTTGTTCTGCCGCCTGCGCGCTCCTCGTCCTCCGAGCGCGTCCCTCACCTTCTCTCCCCGCCTTTCTCTCTTTCGTTTCTCTCTTTCTCTCGTGAAATTAATACCCACGACTGAGCCGGCGAGAGCCACCGGCGAGCCGCGGCGATGAGCTCAGAGAAGGTACCCTTCGGACGGACAAAAAATTGCGGAACGCGAAATATTATTGCGTTGCCTGCGCCGCCATCTCTCGTACCTCTTTTGCGAGGACCTTATATCGACAATAATTTCGATCCGTGCTCTCACCGGCCCGACATCGCGTATCCGGAAGTCGGTGTATATTTATATGTACGTCACATTAATTATGTATTACGCGACTCGTGCGGTCTTGAAATTACTCGTTGCCAGCGGCAACTCGGCGAGTGAATGAATCAAATCGTCTCATATTGCGCCGTGTCGTACTTCGGTTTACGTAGATGAAACGTCATCTTATATTTAATACTCTCGCAATTATATATTATGATGTGATAATTACTCTGTGGCAGTGTTTAAAATAATACGAAGTCGAAAAGACGCTGCCGTAGGCCATCAGCATTTCTATTTATTGTGCGAGAGTTTTTCTGCATCCTATCACTGTGTTACTTTCCTACCCTCCCCGAGTTAAAGATTTCTCGGATGAGCTCTCCATTTTACGATCCATGTTTCGAAGCGAAATAGAGGCCTTTCGCACGGAGAGGTGGGCCCCGTCCGTGCCCCTTTGGTCCCATCTCTCCGCTTCCATCTGAGGGCTCCCATCGTTCCGGCTCGTCTCTAAGCCGGTGCTCGCCCATTGGCGCAAGGGTAGTTGTTATGAAATTAGCATGAGCGATCGAGTTAAGGCCGCGAAGGTAATCGCTCCGAGGGGCATCGCGCAAGGGATTGGACATGCCGGACCGTACGCTTTGCCCAATGCCGCCGATCGTTGGGCCTCAATGCTACCTTCGCCACATCCCATTGGCTCGGGACGATTTACGATCGTTTTGCCCCGAACGTCTCCGGTCGTCCGCGCGCGATGAAGGAGATCGCGGTTCATGGCTCGCAATTAAGAACAGCGATGTCTCAATGAATCGCTGCGGTCCGCTCGTGTCAATACCTTGATTTTAATTCGATCAAAGTTCTTTAGTTTTAATTATCTAACAAATACTTACACTGACAAAAACAATTAGAGAGAAATAGTTTTGAATGTTTTATTTTTGAATAAATTATTCTCACACACACACGTTGTAAGAAAAACTATTTTTTGAACGTTTATTGTCACAATTGTAAAGAGAAACGCCGAAAGACTCGAGTAGTCGCGAGAGTCGAGAATCTGGTTTGTGAGTCTCTCGTTCGGAGCAATGCCAAAAAGTAACGCGAAAGCGGACGAGCGCGGCGCTAAGTCGAAGGCAAAAGTCGCTTGACGCGTGACATGACTGGAAGTGACAGCTGCCGTGTGTAGGACAGAAATCGTACGTCGAGAAACTGACACAGGAGGGATCGGGGACCTCATCTCTGTCGGTCAGGGGCCCAGATGCGGGTTTCTCGTCAGGAGAATGACGAATTCTCGTCACTCGTCTTTCGCTCACTGTATTATTTATCAGTGTATATACTTCGAAACATCGCCGGGGTTATTTCGAATTACACGCGTTCGTAATGAATACGCGTTTTACCGCGAGCGAGTTATTAATATTGCCAAAAATGATTGAGAGGTCAATAAAGTTTTTTGCGTGTAAAAGATTCTGAAGGAAAGACTGTTAACAGCGGCTGTTGTCAACTTTATCTTTTTTCTTTTTTCTTTTTTTTTTTTTTTACAAACATACCGTAAAATATCTGTTTACGTTTGAGAAACACACTCAAGATATATATCTGCGGGCCTCGCGTTCTCTTATATTCAACAGAATAAAATATTCAAAGTGACAGCCGCCTTGTGTTCGACAAGGATTGCACGTTCATCAATACGTGGCTCAGGAACTGTTTTGCCGGCGAGGATTCCAGGCAGGTTCTGAACGAATCCCCGTCGAGAATGATGGATTCTTATCACATACCTTCCATGGTCGAACTTTGTTTTTTTTTTTTTTTTCTTAGAGAATATTTGACTTATTTATTAATACGCATCTTTTACACACGTACGAAATTCGAAATTCAAAATGAGTTTTAATAATTTTATTTTTTTCACCGTGCGATAAAACTTAATCGAGTAGATAAGTAAAATGGAAACATAAAATATAATAGAAAAACGTAAGAATAAAGAACAGTCGGTGAGAACATTCAATAAATTATGCTCGCGGAAATAAACGTAATCGATGTCGGGCGGAAAAGCCGAAGACGATCGTAACGAAAAGAAAAGCAATGTACGATTGCGCGAGCTCGGATATCCCGCGGCGCGACGTTGTCCGATCGAATCGCGGAATAAGATTGATGGTTTCTTAATAACCGAGAAAAACCGACAAAACGTTCCGCTCGCCGCGACACCGCAGGTGGTCAACAGTGAGCGTTACATCTCACGGAGAGACGACACGGTTTTTCTTTGACTCTCGGTTTCTGTCGTCTTCCTCTTCGAGATTTTTTT